AAAACATTTAATATATATACACTTATAAAATAAGTTTCACATATGGCTCACTTAGCGATTAAGGGGTTAAATCCTTCAATAAACTACAATTATGCTATTATATACATTTAATACTGTTACCTTACAATTGAATTTTTTCGCTGACATGATTATTAAGCTTTTACAACCATAACATAAAAGAGTCTGCTTGTTTTGCTCCGAATCTTATACGTTAATCATTTCGACATTTTCCTCTGTCCACCAAGGGCGTAAATTCCCTGAACTGATCCATTGAATTTTACTTTGCAATCTTCCATACGCGTTCCACAGAGTCTTCCTTACAAATTTCCTTCATTAGCAAACTTCCTGAAGATAAGTCTCGGCAATAAGAGGACTCTTAGATACTAAGATCTTCTTGGTCTGTCCTCAAATCATCGGCTAACAGCCCTTGGGTTTGCTTATTTGATTCGGACTAAGTATTTTGAGGTTTTCGTTTGTTTGTTTGTTTTTGTGGTATATTTTTTGGGTTGTTTACCAAATGACACGTAGCGATTTCTGTTTGTTTTTTTAATCATACGAGCTGGTAACATAATTTCGCTGATATAAATAATAAAGACGCCGCTTAAGAAAAAACTTTTGTAACTTTGTTTGTTTTCTAAATCATAGGCAAAAGGGATCAGTACTCAACTTGTTTTTTTGCTCATGTGGAAAGTTTTGACCGGAAAACAAAACGTTCAAATTTTGCATCGCATAATAAAAGATGAATATTTTTTAAATTAAACCCAACCACCAATATGATAGGATGACCGTCGTTAATTTTCACCAGGCAATTGGTATCCTTTTTTCCTTTTTGCAGTTTAAGTTCGTTACGAATTCTGAGAGTACATAATCATTTTGAATAAATTTATCAGGCGTGATACCACTGAGAGCAACAGAAGTACTTAACCGACGGCAGTGTTTTTTTTTTTAATGTCTTCATGATAGAATCACTTGCCTTGGGAAGCACCAACTGATTAATAACAGACACCTCTCAAAAATGGCGACCAAAATAAAAATCCTTCGTTAAGAAAATGGACCTATCGTGAAAGAACATGGTCAAATCATGACAACATTCAGCGAGAGTTCCAAGTTAGTCGTTGATGCAATTCAAATCTTCGGAGACATCATATCATGAAATTGTTGATATTCACTTAAGTTTTTTCAACCGAGGGCCTCGATGGAGTGATGGCTCCTACGACTAACGGTTAAGATTTAGGTCATTGCACGGTTCATTTCTTTCCATTGCGATTAAAAGAAAAAAAATTTACGACCAACGGTTTAAAAGTTGTCAATTTTTACGCCTAGCGGCTTCATCGTCTTTGGCCTTTAACAACCAACTCGGATAGCCCCGTTCAGACCCTCCCTGAAGTATTTTTCTGTAAAATTAAATGTTTTCTCGCCGGAGATAACTCCTAACTTGCTGAAACTTAAGAAGATTGCAAAATAAATAATGAGTTCTTCAGTTCAGTTCCTAACTGGCATTCCTGTCAATGTGCTTACATATGGTGATTTTAATTTTCAGCTGCCATTTTGGAAATAACTCCTGAAAATTAACTCCACGATCGTTCACGTCATTTTTAAACAATTGATGATTGCATAAAAAGTCTGATTTGTGCGCATGGTTACTAGTAACAGCTATGGACGGATTATGGTGAAATATAAACAAATGAAGCCTCTTAAAAACTCCAAGTAAAAAATAGTACTATAAAAAAATTCTTTTGTTAAAATAAGAAAAAATTAAAATTATCTCTACCCGCGAGATTATTTCGCAAGTCAAAAGACCTTTGTCAAAGGATAATTGGAAGACATATCAGCAGTGTTAAGTTATAAGAAAGTTTTTAGAATATTTTTGTTTTTCTAAATAAAAAATGAACTGATTCTGTTCTTCCGTTGGCTGATCATTGTGATTGTTCGAAATCTTTCATTTTGATAAGACCTGAAAGACTCTGCGATTTCAAAGAAATCTCGAACCGTTTCTAATTCTTACGTAAAGAAAGAATAGCAAGAAAAATCATCAATCAGTCACGTGATTATTATGCTAAAGAATTCGTCTGTTTGACAGTTTGCTCGTTTGTTTTTTTGATTGGTTGTTTGTTCGTACGTTCGTTTGTTTGTTTGTTCGTTAGTTCGTTTTTTGTTTTTTCTTTTCTTGTGTAAGTATTTTTTAGTCTAACTAAGGTAGCCTGATTGACATATCAAATAACAAAAACAGAAGCTATCAGAAAGCTGGTCTCCACTTAAAATTACTAATCAAGCGGTCTGATCAAGTCATATGCGAGCTCCTTCAAAAGCGATGCAAATCTGACTTTGTTTTTTCAGCGCAGTCTCTTGACAATGATCACCTTTTGCCATCCTTCTTTTCTTCCATACATATGAAACAGCTCATGAACGAACATCTCATCTCGGTTCAATTCGGGGAAGGTGTCATTCTTAGGCAGGCCCGCGACCAACGGCTTTCTCCATGTTACAGACATGCGCGTCAAGCATCATTTCGAGTTGATCTCGCTCTGCTGTAAGGTATGCGATCTCCGCTTCAAGCTGACTATTGGCTGATTCTAGTTCCTCAGCGGCCTACAGACGAAACCAATTATATTAAATCAGAATCCCTCCAAAATAGAAAAATCAGTGATAATGACCAAACCCGATTCGAGCTCGTTTAGTAAGCTTTTTTGTCAGCTTACTACAAAGAGAAACACATACATTCCAGCCAAAAATGTCCGTGGATATAAGTTGCAGTTGAAGTAGATCTTTTTCCAACATGCGGTGAAACATGCGGTGAAAATTATCCGGGAAGTTCTTTTACGGTGATACCTGTATTATTGAAAACTGCATCTTTGGATAATGAAATTCACGAGTTTTCATTGGCATAGCCATCATGGATTATAAGCCATAATACCATGCTCTACAAGTGTGGAAAGTGTACGCATCAGCTCAAAATTAAAACGGATAAAAACTTATCTAAATCATGTATTTGTTTATCTATATTTTTAGGCGTTTTTTAATAATAAAAAAAAACTATTCTACCCGCGCTTGTTGGAAATGAGATGATTATAGCCAACTTAGCCCTATGGGCCTCGTTGGCTATCTATCATCTTATGTCCAGCGCGAACTCGTGAAATAATTTTCTATTAAACGATCCCATATTCAATGGAGACCCTGTGTTATACAGACATTGGCCAAAATCCCGATTTTTCTCCCCTTATTAAATGCAAAGAAGTTCTCTTCAACTAACTTTTAACACCTCCATTAAGTGGACACTCAAACTAAGTATTTTGTCACATGAAACCTGTATTAGGAGAAAAGCTTCAGTTAGAAATTTAAGTTCCTTTTCTTTTACAATTGCAGTTCGAGATTACATTATTTCATTAAAACCTTTTTTCCGGTAATAAAGTGTTATCCCATCAACCCAAAGAGCCTAGATTCACTCAAAGGTTGCCCGACTATCAATCTGCTCCAGTTGGAATTGAACAATTAGTATTTGTTAATTTGATAAAACTGCAATAAGGACTGAGACACGAAATACCACTAACAGACACAAACTCAAGAAACCTATCCTAATTGCATACTGATTCGACTGCCTATTCCTCTAGGTCAAAGTCCATGCACCCCGGAGTATTATGGGAGACGAATGAGGTTCGTTATACACGTATGTGCCTGGCGTCACGTGGACCAAAAAGTAAATAATGTCTTTGACTTTGTTTTTCTAACTTTTACAATCATTATTGCGCTCAAACGCCTTCTGACCAAAAGAGTAAATTAGATACAAGCTCTTCATGCAAAAATCGTGGAATTAGGACAGCTGTTCCGATAAAGAACTAGACCTTGTAGTTCAAATTTAGACTCGTTATAATCATTTCCCCAAAATGTGACTAAGTTGATAATCAGAGATCCAAGAGAAGCTCACCTGTCTCAAGGTATTAACATGTTCTTTCCGCTTCATTCGACATTTCGAAGCAGCGACCTTGTTTCGCTCCCTTCGAAGCTTTCTTCTCTGCTCTTCTTCTGGCGTAAGCTGCATAAGAGGAGATAAAGAATCCCGAACGAACATATGTAGAGGAACAAAGAGGAACAACTAATGAAAAATGACAAATACAGTCAGGAAATTCAAATCACTTCATTCACCTTTTTGAGAAAACTGACGAGAAATCAGATAACCACTTCTTACATAAACATAGGTAATGAAAAGATCATGACAGGTTGTTTTCCGGGGGAGGGAGTTACCTGCTACAATGAACCACCTAACTGAGGTATTGCAATTTCATAGCATAGTTAATACCGTTATAAGCTTGATTAAAATGATCTTTCCCATAAGACAAGGCTTCTTTACAAGCTAGAGGCAAGTTTTGCATTTCATCTTCCATTTGATGGTCTGTAGTCAATGGAAGTTTGAGAAGATGAAAGGGAAATGTCATTATTGAATGACAGGTACCAATCCCCCCCATACCACCCGTCAAGAGCAATTGGTGCAAACTATGCAAACATTCAAACGCTGATAATTTTGGAAACAGGTGCAAACTGCTGAACAAAGGCCTTCCAGTGTTTATATTGTTTGCAGTCACTCGAGCGTGATAAAAAAAACTCTGTTTGGCGTGATAATTAAGTAGATGGTTGGTTTTGCTGAATCAAAACGATCTTTACTCAAAGCTACGTTGTATAGAGGCGAAATGAGAAGCGTCCCAATGAAGTATTCTCAAATGGTCTTGTTTACGTTACATGATGATAGAAGGATTTTGTGATTAGCCATGAGTAATAAATTATATTCGAATAGACTCTAGTTTTCTCGGAAATAATCGCCGAATCAATTACCTTCGAAAACCAGCGCTAATATGAAGGTATTCCACATTCGCAACCGTAGAAATATTGTGGTATGTAGCCAAAGATTGTCGAAAGTGCGTTAAATATTGTTGATGTGCGTCTTTCTTATGAATCGGAAACCGCATACAAATTGATCAAATAACCCTCAGATTATTTTAGGGTAATTTGGTATCATCAACTGAGTTTATATCGTAAATTCCCCACCGTAAAGAGTTTTTAAAGCTGGCGTTTCAAGCGTTAGCCCTTCGTCAGAGCGACGTATCGCTAATTAATATCAACTGAGTTGATAATACCAAATTACCTTGTTATACTCTCCCATCGACGAAGCACCACTTTTTCTTTAGAAACTTACCCCCTTCACTCAGATTATTTTAATTAATCGCAATTCGCCTTCAGCTATTTAAGTCAAGCTTGTGAGTTTTTTCCCCTGTCAATGTGGATTTGGTTGAAAAAGCTCATGAGGTGATTCATTTCCAGTTAATCTACAACAACTTGTATCAGACAATGCGCTTATTATAGAAACACGTGATTTTTTTCCCGCGGACAAGAACGTACACCTGACCACTGACGTGACTACTGACGAGTTTCCCGCCATCAGATTCTGGTTCCAATTTTCAAAAAGAAAAATCTGTTGTTGGAAAGTGACACGCATACGTAGAAAAGGCATGGAAACCTGGGTTTTTTTCAGTTTTGTTGAAGAAGGATAAGTGAAGCCCTACGTCCAGATTCGTCTCATCGCAAGAGCTTAGAATTAAAACTTCGCAAGGAAACTGGTTTTGCAGTGCATCCTCTCATATAAAGAAAGATCATTCTGGAGTGAAAACCAAAATAACTGCAACAGCCAATCAGACCAAAGATATGTATGTTAGGCAACCAATGAGGACTCAAAGAATAGACAACTGAACGGCCGCGAGCGCGGGAAAAGGGACTGAGGTGAGCTAGTCACAAAATATTTTATTTATGGCATCTGATTGGGACAGAGATTAAAAATATCAAATAGCGTAGTCAAGTAATAAACTTCATAATCTTCGAAAGGTTTCTGTCTTCTTCAGAAGTCACTCACAAAAAGGGTTTGCCTAAACAAGCTTCAAAACGTGATGCTCAATGGTTTCTTAGCTTAACAAAGATTGTTACTTTGGACTGATAATTGACGACTGCTATCCGTGAATGATGTTTTTTCACAGCGGTATAACTATGTGAGCATTACTGCCTTAGATGTCAGGATAGATAAAAATCTAATAAAAGAATCCTGAAATTGACTCAATTTTCCGTCAGCAAAAGTTTTGACAACTCAAAAGTAATCCTAAGATTCCATTGGACAATATTTTCTGAGTCTGATATTTCATTTTAGTTTGTAAACTGATTGTTCATTTTTTCCAATTTAATCTACCTCGCCTGCAACGGTCTGGTGCGTTATGCCGGCCCCACTGTTTAACATTACTCGAGGGCAAATATTGGGTCCCAGTTAAAGTTGTCAGAATTTCACAAACCAATCACTCCGTCAATTTTGGTCGCACCTTCTGCTATGCGCTTGAACTTAAAGCTCTTGGCTTATCGTCAAAAGCTGCCTTATATATCAGGTCCTATTAATAAAAATAATAAATAATGGGAAATACTTGTTGGTTCTTGGAATCTTTGGAGTTATGGTCGATCTTCGGACAGTCGAGTCCATTGGCAGCGCGTTTTGATTCTATGACGTATCTCAACTCCAACTTAACAGGCAGCTCTGCTATCTCAAAAGCATGGTCCATCACAATGTTACCGTCAGGGACTGGGTTCCCAACTGTTCGAATGACGCCTCCTGGTTCCATATAGACTCCATTACTTGTCTTAGAAAAGAAGAAGATGAACCACTTGATGTGTAATGACAACAAATTAAATGATAAGTGGTTAATTGATCCTCATGGTAAATATAAGTCAATTGAACCCTCACTTTTTTTTTCTTTTTCAAATTTCGCTCTTTTCAGCGTGAGCAACTTATTTAATTGTATTCGACTTGTAGGAATCATTTAGCTTGCACAGAAAGCTTCCCACTGGGGCGAGTTAACACGACAAGCTTTCGATCGTTTATTCGACCGGCCATATTTGATTTAGAGTTAGAGTGCACTGTAGGGGAGGGGACTGGGAAAGGGGTGAAGTTATTTTTATTGCCCCACTTCCTCCTCTCTTCTTCCTTCTGACTGTCGCCCACCCCCCTTGGTAAAAAATTTTCTTCTCTCCCCAACCCTCTAATGCCGTAAAAATCAAAGATGGCAGCAATAAATTTTACCAAGAAAACACCTAGCACCCGCTCGCTAAGTTCACGCCTGCTCTGCAGGCTAGTTGTCATTTTGCATGATAAAATGTTCTGATATGTCGCTTGAGTATATCAAGATTTCGTTTGCCTGAATTGTGGTTTGCTTGGTTAAGCCCAATTTCGCGAGTTTGATCTATGTAATTCTTGGTAAGAGCGACTTTATTTCACAAGCAAAAGAGCGCCTCCTGTCAGTAGTACTGTTTAACGGCCGTAGCATAAGTATACATTGTTCGTTTGCATCAATGTAAATTTAGTACCAAAATTAGGAGCTGTCGTTCAGAAGCAAAGGACAAAACCAGTTAAACTAATCTTATATAGAGAATGATACACGGAAAATTCATGAACAGCAAAAAAAGATACACCAGATGTCCCGCCTGAAGTAACAGAGAGCAGAAAAAAACGTTTCGCAATCCATGAAAACTATCTGGATCCCTTCATAAAGAACGTTGGCTCCGCATTATTTCCTACGCGTTCGGAGCGAAATATCACAAAGCAATTGCTTTGTAAAATTTGCCCGCGAGCGATCTATTTCTGTTTCCTGTTTTGTCATAGTGCGACATTGGCGAATAATGAGATAAAAAGAACGAAGTGTCAATACAATGCAATTTTATATATTCCCTTGCAAAAATTCGCGTCCCTTATTCTCAGGAAATTTCAAACTCTCAAAGTACAGTTTTCGTGCAAAAACGACCTGTGTTAGCTTATCAACGAAGACGACAAGGTCCCCGGGAACAGGTAAAACTTAAGAGATTGTCAGATTTCATTGTTTACAAACAGGTGGTAAATTATTTCGATTAAGATAAACCTGACTCAAATTATTCTCTTTCCTTTGAAAATAATGAGATGTCATTGTTTAACCAGCGATTTTCTTTCATATATGGTGTTTTTAATATAACTATGCTGCTCTTGGTTGATATATCGTTTTTTAAAAACTTCTTTTGTTTTAATTTGAGAGCGATCCAATAATTGCTATGAGGACCTTGTCAAAATACTTCCTCGGCAGACAACACCAGTTGTCAACTGACCCCTTATGGCCCTGCAGTTAAATACGAAGGTAAATATCTCGTAAATTGCTCAAAAGCAAGTGTTTTTGACTCCCAGCAATTGACTGCAATGGCTTTCCAGCTTTACATTCTGTTTAAGAATAAAATTGTGCGCACAGTACTTTAGATCTAATAACTTCGGAGTTTGAGCTCCACAAGTCCGTGTTTGCTGATAATATTTGCGTGATATCATAAATATTACCCTGATCCAGGAGAACTCACCGGAAAATCCATTTTGTAAAACCGTCTTTTCGGCAAACAGCATGAACTTTCCACGCTGATCTCTCGTCTGCTTTCTTCGGAATCTTCACCGTTTTAAACAAAATCAATACTTACGCCACTTGAGAGATCCCCACGGAGTTAGGCTAACACTTATTTGGGACTGATGACATTATTAATATTAAATAATCACCTTGTTCATTTTAGCAAATTGACGCCATTCCTATCGGTACAGCCTTTGACCAACCAATCCGGGAAGAGATCGCGCGGAAGTCATGTTTAAAAACAAATAAAATCAAATCGAAAAATAACCTCTATTACAAATAAGTGAATATGCTTTGTGTCCCTTCACATAGCGCTAACATTTCGAATTTATGTACTGCCTCAACTTTTGTGCGTGCAATATTAACACAGTTTCTCAAATCCGCTTCAATTTTTCCGAAGGACGAGTCTGAAACAAATCGTACCGAGGTTAGTTACTTGAAGAGTAAACCTTGTCATCCTTGTAGCAATAATCGCAGAGATTAAATCATTGAGGTCGCGCGAAGATCAATCTAAAATCTTTTTGAGATTTTTATTCACCACCATAGTGATTTGATCTAATTTTTAAGGATAATGAGAAGTCGTGGTTTTTGTGTGGGCGTGTTTCTGTGGAATAATTGGTGTTAATTACTACAGGTGCGCACAGTCCGCTGTTAACACCTAGATGACACGCAAGAGAAAAAAAACGCTGAATTCGCTAATTTCTTGACTCGCGTAAAGCGCGCAATTCTCTTCTATTTGTCCTACTTCCAGCGCAGATATATTCCTTTAACATCTCAACAACAGGAGTAAAAGAAAATCATTTATAGCCGTGTTAACTTTATTGCTTCAAGATCACTAAAAGCAATCACCTTCCCATCTTTGTGTTTCCTTCTATCAGTACCTGTAAGTTTACGGTTCTTCACAGCAAGTGCCTCATTAACACAAATTACTGCTCATTGATGTTTTAACCTGTCTCTACTCGGCGTGTAACATTGTCCCAATGCACACACCTGATAGCTTCTTTGAGAAGTGTCCGAATCGTCGTGTTTAATGAGCCCAAGCAAACGAGTCCGTCCTATATGCTAATAATCCTTGTTTATATCGCTCCTGTCAGTTCTTTGATTGATTCATTCCCCCTCATTTGTGTCTGAAAAGTCAATTGCACTCTCAGTCAGAAAAAACGTCTTCACCCCTTCCCAGTATTTAAAAACTCACTATACACCGAAAATTTATTGTGTGAAATCACAGAGTTTCCAGATGATCGATTGGTAATCGTGGGCGCTCAACGAGTACAAAGAGGTCGCGGGCTCGAATCACAAAATAGGAATTGTTCTCAATTTGTCCTGGGCCCGAGTTTGAGATGGAGCGGGTTGAGAGTAACTCTCTAACTGGCTTAGGTCCCGAGTAACTCCTCCCCGGGAAATTCTGTTGGCTTTTTTTTTTTTTTCTTTTTTTTTTTTGCTGTCTTTTCGATTTTTCCCTTTGTTATCATCATTTTTATCTTCTTTTTTTCTTTTCTCTTTTTTATTTCTAAGCAGTTAGTTTTTTGGGTCACTTTTCCCTCCCTTTCGTTTTGCCAAAATTAGATGTGATATTTTCTCTCTTTTTATGCCGCTATTATTAATAAGCAGCAAGCGTGGATGGAATTATACCCAAGACAAGTTGGGGACAGCAATTAAATCACCTCTCAGTAAGGTGGACATGAGAGTAAAAGATACATGCAAAAGTGAAACATAATTTTTGGCTGGAAGAGAAGTGGAGGGAGGAAGGATCATGAAATCTTCCACTGCAAAAATTGGGAGATCAAAATAACACTGTATACTCTGAAGGGAGGAAACGTAAGTGCTCTTAAGGGAGGAAACGTAAGTGCTCTGTTGTCATGACTAAATCCCCCGCCTCCTCCCCAGGAAATACTGAAATAATAACCAGTCCCTAAGGAGAATGTGCTACCTTTGCTATAACAGCTGAAAATGGTTAGAAGGTCTAGTCCAGTCTCGGATAAAGACGATAAACACTAGTCCCTAACTCCTGCATCTTCTCTGTAATGGTTACCAGGGACGTTAAAGAACCCACGCACTTCCCGCAAAGAGTACGGGGAATGAAAATCCCGGTGTTGTGGTCCGGCCTTGTCATTTTTGTTCAGGCCCCCATTTGAAAAACAACCTTTTGAGTTGAACTGGGCCAGCCTTCATTAATATTACAAATGAAAAAAATAAATGAATTAATTACCAAAAAAGGCTCCTGAGTTTTATGGATAAGTTTGATGAGGAAGCAAACCCCAAGTCCTCAAGCTCAGGGAATATGATTGTTTCTAACTGTATCACTTCATGGATTGCTCTCCAATCATTCTGATTACTATTACGAAAGATGAATTCAAAGGCTACCGTATTGTAAGATGTAAAAGACTTTAATCTTGTTCTAAAGCAAATTAGCCAAAAAGCAAAGACTGCGAACGCTACTTTTAAAGGATTTACGCTACATAAATAGTAAACTGCCTTCTAAGAAAACATCTTAAAAGTTATTTTTTTCTGCAAAGTATTTTAATGTATCTTAATTTGTGTCCATCTATTTCGTCCTCTCTTTTCCATTTACTTTTGACTGCGAGTTTGTTGGAAGCAAATAAATTGCAAAATAGCTTTGATAAAACCAGCCAGCATGTTAACATACGTAACTAAAACCAAATTTCACTCAAAAAAACGCTGTTCGCACGTGTATCAGCGAAAATAATACGCTTGAAGTGAAATTGCACCACACGCCATACTATCACGGTACAGCGGCTCATCGTGTGGCTCCATCCACGCATGTGCACGTCATTAATAGCCCTTCATCTTGAATCGGTATATTGACTTATTCTTCCTCTTGATTTTGTCCTCTGTCACCAGTTTTTCCCTTCATGATAAATTGGCATTTAATCCAAGTTCGTGGTCATCCTGTGGAGTGTGGGAATATTTTGCGCAGCTGTGTGAATCCAACATGAATTCCAGTTTTTTTATTTCCGCTTGTAACTTGCTGATCTGCGCTTGAAGATCATTGTTTTGATGCTCCAGCTCCTCAGAAGCCTTAAAGAAAAAATATCATCACAATGTCTGCTACTTTTCGTTTTCAAGCTAACAAATAAAACAACACTGCTAGAAGGCTATTTAGAATCGATTTAGCAGTTCTGTAAGACCTCTGATACCAGAAAATCCAAAGGTATTCGTTCTTTCCCTTGCCTCTAAGAAGAGATTGTGGGCGTCTTTATCATATCGAGATCCAACTCTTCCTAAATATGGAAGGAGCTGAGTTGTGCTACTCTGGCAGTAGGAGACATAAGCCGTAATTTTACCTCATAAGAGCGTATTTATTCGATTAAGTACCCAACTTCCAATTAGCGATTATCCCCACCCGTTCCAAAAAAAACCTAAGTTCACAAAAGGAGTGTTGATTATTATTTCTTTACCGGCTTACAATCTCTAAATTCACCGTCTATGGTACATCTTCACGGTGTAATTTTATTTATTATCTTGTTGCAAAATAAACGCTAACAGCCTACGACTGAGCACCCGGGGCGATTGATCGAATAAATACGGTACCCAGATACCTCAACTAATGTTTTAACGTGTTCCTTTCTTTTCTTGCGGCATTTAGAGGCGGCCACTTTATTCCTTTCTCTTCTTATTCTACGTCGTTCTTGTTCGTCAGCGGTCAACTGCCAAGAGAAAAGTGTTCTGTACTCGCAAGAAGTTCATAAATTGTTCAAAACGGTTTTGATAAATTTTCACAGAAAAAACTAGGTGAAGAAACTTTTAATCAGCAAAAGAAGTATGACAAGGAAAAAGAAAACTTTTTCGAGGTAAAACCAATAGCCAAATTGCAGAGGGGTCTCGCGAGGGACCAAATTGTAAATAGCGTTAGCTTTACTTCTGACTGGTCCAGAGTGATGTGGAATGATTCCGTACCGATAACAGATCAAAAGTGGAGCATTTCATACCGTTTTACCTTCGACATAAAAAGAAAAATTGTTACGACCCGATTTCGAAAATAAAGCTGTTTTAGTACGCCTTATACAAATGGTTAAGAAAAAAATTCGTTTCCTCAACTCAGCCAATTGATAAATTATCTTTAAAAAAAAAACTCTTCTCAACTGTTTCCCTGGATATCCCTCACTTAAGGCCAGTGCCTTCATTAACGTTGATTTCGAAGCAAAATATCATTTAAACTTACTACACGATCCTATAGGTAAACTGGGGAATGTTCTTTCCCTGTTCTTTACGGTTACATTTATTCCTACTTGACTGCTCTTGATGATCATTTATTTACTCATTTACAAACGATATTTACAAAAATACATTCTGTTAAAAAGACGAACTCAAATAAAAGCAACAAGGGTCTGACTTCTCTATCGATGTAGATGTGTGTAAATTCAAAAATTTCAGTTAAAAAAAAAAAAAAAAAATTACTGCTCTTGATCGGTTTCAATCCTGATCAATTGCGTCATTTTATTGATTTTTCAAAAGGAACCAAAACCCATTCTTTGCGAGTTGCATTCGTTACGCGAAATGCTCTTTCTTTTCAACAACCTGTACTCTACCCACGTTTTTTTTTTTCTCACACACCCACGTCCCGTGACAAACAGTCGCTCACCAAGAAAATGCAAATCACTTTCTAATAAAATATTTATTTTTTTTTGGATTTTCATTAAGAGCCAAGAAAACCAAAATCGAAAGAGTCTATTTGATATGGATGCAAATTTCAAATAAAGATCAGCTGCCCTAAAGTGGGATGCACTGGAATACGATGACATAGAGCTGAGACCCTTTCATTCCTTCAACGCAGCTGAACATTTACATCATTTTTTTTCTTGCTATCATGACTGGAGAAAATTACGAGAGAAATATTTTCATCTCTAACCCTGAGAGATTGCGAAGAGACCATTACCGGGTAACATGAATAACGGAAAGTCTTACCATGCAATCCTGGACATTCGTACCACGATACAAGCAGACTCCTACTCTCATTTCAGGCTGAAGTTGACTGTAATGTTTTGACATTGACCCTACACTCCTGTGGCTTCTCAGTTCGTGCTCTAATTCAGTTAATTTTCATTTCCCTCCATGAAATTAATCAGATTTAGCTTGGTAGGTTTTACTTAATAAAATCTTCGAACACTCCTTGTCTTTCTCCAGTGTCTTAACATCACTTCAATTGCTCAAATGTTTCTTAAGAATTTTCGCTGGATGAGTTTTAGTGACACTTCTCCGTTGTCTACTGTTTGAATTATGTAATAACTGGAGACAGCAGGTAGAATTGTGTCTTAAAAAAATGTCTTGATCCAAGCTTCGACGGGCGCATGAAAACCGGGATAGGTTTACTTGCAGTCAAAGTAATTTCTAACCAATGAAGGGGGTAAGTTTCCAAAGTGGCGGGCATTACAAGATAATTTGTTTTTGATAAACTGATTTGATAATGTAAACTGGCCACCGTAAAGAGTCTCTTGAGCTGATGTTTCGAGCACTAAACCCTTCGTCAGAACGAAAGACTAAACCAACTAATTGAATTTTCATTTTCCATCATTCTGGTCATTGATTATGATAATAAAACAAAGGAACAGAAACTGAATTTGTCATAACTTGGAAGTAGTAACGTAGCTTAATAGAAGTTAAGTTCCAAATGGTTATTATAGGAAAAGCATTAGCTCCTGCTGAAAAGAGGGATCTGGAAGGGGCTTGTAGATTCTATGATTTGTTCTTTTTCAGACTGGAAAATGTCGCTCAAAAGGTGGCAAGGTCAATGGTAGCAATTTTGTGGGCGAACATGACAACTCTGAGGAAAATATATACCAATATAAGCACTACCATTTTACCAGCCAATCTTAAAAAACTTTCATTTAGCTTGTTTTTGTGTTTATGAAAAAACTGAAATTAGAATATGGAAACTTTTTGTGGCTAAGGGTTTTCTGAAGCCGGACGATTTTATTCCGTCATTACTCTCGTGGTTTTAATTGTACTGGCCTGAGATTTTCAGCTCTTACCGTACAAATCAACCGCTTTTTTACTTTAGAATTTGTTATTTTTCTTTCAATTTTGAACAACAGTCCATTCTATTGGAGCTATGTTTCGTTTTCTTTAATAGAGAAACATGAGATGATTATCAGTCCAAACTTTCTAGTAATATGCATAAACTCTTAGATCGAATTCTAAAAAAAAGCTCGGGACCTTCTAGGCAAACTGATCTTGGGGTTTGCTTGTTCTGTGATCAGCATTTATAGTACCTACCGCGAGGAAAAAGTATTAAAAGGCCAAAGACATGACTCTGCAACAACAAAACACCAAGAGGTTCGCACCTGACACTTCACAACCTGTTGTTTAAGCAATGATAACAATTCAGTTCCTTCTTAACAACTGGACCATCTAAAAAACGGTTTCTTGACAATGAGAACTCATAAAATGTTTTCAGATTTATTTGTAATCATCTCGAAACTGCCGTGTTGCTTTAATTGTATCTAAGAACATTTTTAGGCACATGCTATAGATTTCTCTTTAAAAAATTGCTTCATAACAATTGCACAAGGTAAAAGGATCATTCAGTCGTTTTTAAATCCATGAGCTTCCAAACACGGCTGCTTCACTTCTTATGTGTTTGCGAACAAATATTCTTCATTCGGTGTTGTATCGCTTTTCCAACTCACATGTTGAGGTTCTCAAAATGTCTTAACGGCTGACTCATATTCCAAGGCGACAGCGATATTTCAAACGTCGATTTGGATACTAAAACAGCTCAAATAAAGAGTCAAAAATTTTGATAGCTTATCAAACCCCGCAACTTAGCCACTCACCCGAAAAAAGGAAGCTTCGAGGAATGCTGTTTACGTAGCTCAAGTAATCGTTACATAAAAAGAACAAGCGAGTCACGAAAGATCGAGCGAGTCGACGAACGACCATACGAACGAACAAAATAAGGAAAGACTGACGACTGAGGGTATGACCGAGTCAACCGAACGAAAAACGAAGTTCTGACGATGTCTCAAACGAACGTCGAACCAACCACCGACGTGAAAACAAATGAACTGCCGAACCGAAGAATGAATTTATTTAATGATTGATTATCTGATTGAATTAATGATCCAATGAATGACTAAATGAAGGATTGATTAACCACGACTGGAATAAATAAACTACTGATCGTTCTAAGAACTAATGTAAACAAACTGCAAAAACAAGCGATGTTCTTTCATATCATTGACGCCAGTATTGCAAAATTCGATGGTCTTGTAAACCGTTACTCTGATGATGACCAAAGAAACTTAGAGTTAGTGCTTTTCATGAAAACCGTGAGTCAAGAGCAATCCAAACAACCTCTTCGAGGTAAACAAGGAGGAGTAAATAATATTTGGTGCTAAGAATCCTTTCCCTGTGGAGCAAGAATTTCTAACGAGCATTACAACTCTGTGAGTATCACAAACCGCTTCATTTCCATGGTCGTATTCAAAGTTCATCTCCATCATGTATTCCATATCAACGTCTTCCCCACCATCATCGACAGAACATCTTAGCTCCGGTTTGATGTGCATATCAAACAAATTTGCATTTGCCTGTGGAGTGCAATCCACCAGCTCTGATAAATCTTTCGGTGCTCCAGTGAATTCATGAATCATAGAAGGACAATTCTGTAAAATTAAAACAACCTCCTGTAGTTATTCGACAAGCGTGCAAAACGCTGCGATCAGCGATTTTTTCGTGCGTGTACCGTTCCTAAGTTTTAAGTCTTTCCGGTAGCACTCATTAAAGATGAAAGGACTCTTCTGGTACCTGGTGGCTAACTCCTCAAAAACATTCTGTCAAACAACGAACACTTTGTGAACTCAACCGTGTAATTAGCGCCACCCCTGATAAGGAAGAAACGAGGCTACCTCCGAGATACTTGCGGAATTTTCTGAGCTGGTGAATCAACACCTCTGCGAGGCATTAAGCGTCGTTCGTTCGCGCTATATCTAAGATATGATCTAAACACCAGAGCGTAAATCACCGCTTAAGATCATAAATGAATTTTTAGGGTGATAGCTTCGAGAAAATTTCATGAACTCCTCATCTCACGATCACTGCAGCGAAATAGAGCCATACCTCGTCAAATCCCGGAGCAACGGGGACTCTTGCCTCCATAGGGGGGTCTTTCTCCTTTCCTAGGCCCCCGCCTAAGGGAAGCAAGGAGGCCTAAGACGAACTTTCCCACTGTCTCTACAATGTTGTCCCATTAACGATACCACTAAATGTGCTAAGTGTCCCTGATAAGGTCAACTGCGCTTTGATTGGTCCATTTACCGACACATAATTGCTCTTCCTTGGGGTTACGAGATACAAGAGCGATGATCTAATCTTGGTTCGTTGCTCTCTCCCAGAGCTGGTTCAAATGTAAAAATCTCCAAGAAAACGTGTTTTTGCGAGGGTTGGATATAAAAGAAATAGTAACCTCTGCAGCTGTGTTAGGATGAAACAAAAGAGAACCAGTGGCGACCACAAGAAAGTGTAACGAACAAGGTGATTACATGACGGGTACCAGCAATATTTTTTTCTTGACAATTCTTACACTTTCCATCACTTCTCGGACCCAGGCTCCCTGGGTAGCTTTTGAGGAGATTATTTTATCCATGATAGAACTTGAATAAAACAGTGGCTTCCGATGCGAAATCAACAGAAGAGTCTCGTTTCATGAATTCAAAACAGTACTTTTGCAAAGTTTTTGCAGCTTCTTCTTTTAACAATCCCAGTTTTGTCAACCGACTTCCTTGTAAACTTGAACTTTGAAGAACTTTCGGTTTTTTGAATAAATGAGAAAGATTCCATGACTGAAGAAATTCTTTCAGACGTGAAAGTATGGAATTTAATCACCAGACGGTTGAACTGTAATGAGGGAGAACTGAGTGTGACCTTAGGCCATCAGCCCGGTGCCAAACTCCAGAATACAACATTTTGTTTTTTTTTCTCAGTGACGAATTGGTTTACAAACAAGCTTCTTGTTTTGCCGTCTTCAAACCATTTACAGTTTTCTAGGATTCGCAACCTTTAACTAAGCGATACTAAACTCTAAAAAGATAGAGAACAGATTTGATTCCAACTAATTGAATTGGATTACATTTAAGTTATCAGTCGAATTTCCGAGATCATTTTTTCTTCCGTGATTTGACCAGTCAAAGTTGTATTCAAAACAATAAGTGTATTTTGAGGAGAAAAGGTGACAACCAGACGACATCATGTGGTTCTTGATTTGGTGAGAGTACCTCTAAAAGGTTTAGAAAAGCCCTTTTTCCATTTTATCTTAATTCAAGGCAATGTTGGATAGTTTTTTTTAATGGACAGTCCTGATAGGCTTGTAGGTGTTTCAACTGAGTGTCCAAGATCCTTATTTTGTTTGAATGTTGAAAAATCCTTGTAGAACGGTGGCGGATGATCTCACACACTTATCAAGGAACACAAGCCAGCCGCACACAAGTATATTTAATCCTCGAGGGAATCCTAAATACTATAATTTGATTGGTTCCCGAAACCGGTCCAGCCTTTGACGGCAATTTAATACGTTGAAGAATTCGCCAGAAAATGAAGAAGCCAAAAACTTCAATGTTTAGATTTCACACACCTAAATTACTCATTAATCTTCGCACTTATAATCACCTTTTAAAATGGCAAGCAACAGTGTTGCAAGGAAATTTAAACAACGTTCAAATTAAAGAGCGACTTGATGGGTTTGTCACAAGTACCGAATAAAGCGATATTTTCTGCCAAAACGAGTATGGTATGAAACAAAAAAGAGAGTTCCAAGTGGGTAATTGTTCGCGATCTTAATGATTGTGATGGTAAGCTTCCTACACCGGGACGGAAGGGACACGGATTGCAAAGGAAAACGTTTAAGCCGGATGGCTTTTTTGAGTTTTTTTTTTACAAAAAAAATTGCTCTTTGTCAAGGTGTAGAGTGGTATGTTGCTCGTACCAATCAGATCGCCGCATTTCGGTATGTATCTCGCACCAATCAGATTTCTGCGTTAGGGTATGTATCCCACACCAATCAGATTGCCGCATTAGGGTATGTATCACGCGCACAGCATTTGGATATTTTGCACCAATCACAGCGTTTAGGGTATGTATCTTGGACCAATCATATCACAGCATTTGGATATCTTGCACCAATCACAGCATTTAAGGTATTATCTCGCACCAGTCATATCACAGCATTTGGATATTTTGCACTAATCGCAGCGTTTGACTATTGTTTTCATGTAAATGATGTCATGGAATCAGGAGGCTGTGCACAAAGAGTGACATTAACCATAAATTTTGGGCTAATTTGATAACTATAATGGTTTGTGGCCTCCGCGAGAGCCTCATCGATTGAGGTCGAGAGTTATCGGGATATGAAAGGTTCGCATTCAACCTTTTTGTATTATTTTTAATTTAAAACGTGTTTTTTCCGTTCCTTTACTCACAACTCACCCGCCAAACAACTTACATTCCATCACGTACCACAAAAACAACGTTCAAGTTCAATCAGAACATACCCAATCATTGCACAAGATGAACATCGGGCAATTTTTCACGTGCGTGAATTGTATTCCACCAATCAAATTACATTTTGCCAAATTAGACTTCGCTCCATCACGTGTCATTTCCTTTCAAACAACCTGCATGTAATAACGTATTCCAACCTCATTGTCCAACCCCACTAAAAACGATCCATATGGAACAAAATGCCACTGATAGTGAATTTTCCACGCAATTCTCCTGCGTTTTGACTTTTCCTACGAACAAAATTGGCTTTTAGCTACCTTGGACTTAATCCAATCGCGTGTTAGTTCCTCGTAAACAACCTGCATTTTATCACGTATTTCACTCACACAGAGGGCAAAGACCAGAGAGGCTTTCAGTTTCCTTTCCGTAGTAGAATAACGTGTAAATATATTTTTAAGGCAACCAACTGTATACAAATAATTTTAATTTTCTCCCTCTTAGAGGATTGGCAGTAAGCGTAGTCCCTTTTGCAACTGTTATTTGGTCTCGTCACGCAACGCTCTCTCTCCAACGGGGAAAAGATGGCGTTGTGTGACGAGACCAAACAATGGCTGGGAAGGACACAACAGTAAGCGCGGCACCGATGCATTTTATTTTTGCTTAGAAATATTTCGACATTAGAGGCAGTAGACCACAAAGTACCTGTGTGAGTTCAGATAAATTGCGTTTTGCGTCTTTCACTTAAGGTGAGGTAATGTGATGTTATCGTTCTTTTGAAAGTTATACTCTTTTTTTTGCTACAAAAATGAAAACACTGAGGTACACAAAGTATCCCGTCCCAACCCACGGTTGGTTTGGCCAACGAAAAGGTAGAAATTCATTGATGATTTCTGGATGTCGGGGATCTGCGGTAACTGGACTTCGCACAAATCAGGAGATACTTCATAGGACTTGCTTTCACTTGCCTGTCCCATGTGTTACCAATATCCTCACAACATCGATACAAGATCAAGCAGAAAAGTACAGGGAAAAATATCGAGTTGAAACAAAGCCAAATTCTCCGAACTAACCACACATGAATTGTATGGCAGAGAGTAAGGAGAATTACTGATGTAATCACGGTCAGGAGTGAAAGGGTTAACGGCTTCCGCGATGTGAAAGAAGCAATCGGTGAATCGAAGGAACTTTGAAATCAATGGTTGTTCGTACGATCACCTAATGTTGCGCACGAGTTCAGAGAGCTAAACAAATTAAAATATGTAAAGTTTATGTGTCTCAAATCTGTGATCGAAATTCCTTGAAAGCTCGATGAAGAAATGTGAATTAAGTGTCCTGACATGTCCACCATATATACCAACTAAATTTAGAAATTACTTTTTGTTATTCATATTATTGCGTCGAAAACATGGCGATATTTTCCAATTAAGGTACACATTGAACTGGCCTATTTGGAGAATCTGATCCGAAAAGGGACTCCCTTGAAATTAAAGACGAAGTTTCCTCTGTTTTTTTTCTCCCCGACGGAAACTCAAGTCAGATCAGAAACTATATCAATTTTTTTCCTCTCAAAGATCACGTTCAGAAGGACATTGTTACTCTGAACGTGTTGAAGAAATCTTTTCTTACGAAAAACGGGACAGACAGGACATTTCAGTGACAAAAAAAGGAACTGAACGAATGGAATATATTCGTTTTGTTCAAAGACAAATCCTCGTCGTAGAATTCCCATATCTTTTTTTCTTAAAATGTTATCTGAGACAACTTGTGCCTGATACATATTATGTAACGAGCCGTTTTGTTAGCCTCTGAGGAAACAATTAATTAATCTTTCGTGGAAAGACATTTGATCTTGTCTTTGGTTGCTAAAATTACCATCCGTTCCAAGAAAAAACAATAAAATACCAATGTTGGTTATTTTGTGCTTGTGGCAGCAAAAAGGAACTTTGAAAAGCAGAATTTACCGTGTCGTTCCGCCTATTTTTTTTCTGAAAGGAACTTGAAACCAAAGCGGAAAAATTGCTCCTTCCTTGAAAATGCATCTCATTTTAATCCAATTTAGAAATACGCGTGACTTCTGAGCGAAGCCTAACCTAAGCAGGCAAATTTTTTTTATGGATGGTCCCTTGAAGTTTAAAAATGGACTAGCTGCATAAAAACCACGTGGACGGTAAAATCGTTATGATATAATAAAGCAAAAAGACTTAGATTAGAGTTTTCTATGATGGAAAAATTACTGTTTAGATTTGAAACAAGGAAATGTTTGACGAGCCTTATCGCTTAAAGTCGATGTTATGTAAGGAATTGTGTCAGTCTACGTCAATCTCTCCAATTTAAAATAAGGAAATGTTTGACGAGCCTTATCACTTTAAGTCGATGTTATGTAAGGAATTGTGTCAGTTTACGTCAATCGGTACAATTTGAAACGAGGAAATGTCTGTCGAGACTCAAAATTTAAAGTCCATGTTATGTAAGTAGGAACCACGTCAAATGTTCTCAAGGAATTTAACAATGGATGTACGTGACAAGGAAGTTTGCCTCGCCGTCTGCATGTAGTACAGCACGGAACATTTTCATGATCAGTCGACCTTATCGCCTGAAGAAGACTAGCAGTATGTAGTCGAAACGTCGCGATCTACATCACTCGTGACTACCGCGTGAGACAAACGGAAAACTCAGCTTTTATTGTTATTCACCGTGTTGAATAACCACAACCTCTTTCATGAAATTTTTAAAGAAATAATATAAAAGAAAATTGGACCGCATAAAGAAAATGCGGAAAAAATGCAATTCTAAGCGACCAGGAAAAAATTATGTAACCAACTCTTTTACTTTTACGGCACTTATTGTGATCGTGCAAGGCAGCTATCATGACTGGTGGTTTTGCAATTGTCCATTGTACCGGTTATCGATTTTTACGAGAACCACACTAACCACACTATGAGAAAACTCCACTAGACTACGAGGTAATCATGGCCACATTTCTCGCCGAAAAGATATATTTAGCTTTTTCAAGAAACACTG